TGGATGCTATAGATAAAAGAGATTTTAAAACACCTGATAAAAGACAAGTATAGCAACGTACTCGTGCGTCCTTTGGTAATAAAATTAATACTTACTTCCACAATGTTATGCTCATCAAGATTTTATGCAGCATTCCTCGGAAATCCTGGATTTAACAGTAATAGAGCTACGCGGCAGCTTTTGCTGTCGCACCGATGGGACGGCTCGAACAGGGGTATTATCACTACCTCACAGAATACTAGCGTGAAGTAGAAGTTTACTTCTGCGTTTCGCCTGGTCAGTGAAGGTAGCCAATTAATCCTCTCCCCTAAACATAGTAGCGGGGTTAAATACACCACTACGCCGGGAGGGTACCAGCGCGGAGAAACCCTCGTTGAACCCTTCCTGAGCGTGGGTGCTCAGGCTTCTCACGTATTCTGTTAGGGGGGAGGATTCTGCTCAAGACTAAAAATGCTCGAGGAAAGCGGAGAAATAAGACAAATTCGACCCCTGCATACTATCTGTGAATTTCTGCTAACATCGGAGGAATTCATTCCTTCCATCCACTATCATCTGGAGACGGCGAAGCCGATCGTGATCTTTCTTACCGAGACCTAATCCTACCCAGGGTAAAAATTAGAACACTTCTTTCAAACACGTCAGACAGGACATCTGTTTTCGATTCCTCGGCAGTTTTGTAGGTACGGACCTGTCCATATTATGGCTGCGCGTACACAGCGATGACTATTCCTGCATCTACGGGTGCCTCCATAGGTCCCATAGCAGTAATGCTGACACAGATCGACCGACTCATCGACCATGTCCATGGCTGTAGACTCCGTGCTACAACAGATCCCATCATGTAGATCTGTTTATGACTTTGCCTTCGAATACGGTGGTCTAAAACAACTGGTTACTTTGCCTACCTGGATCTCAGATGTGAAGAATCATGTACCTTCCTTGTTGCACCTTCTGACCTCTCATCTTAATGGATATCAGGTCTCCGTCGATGTGCCACTTGGCACTTCGAATCATTGTCTGAGCCGGAGTACGGTGCCACTCACGCTCCCATCGCGGTTGCGTAAGAACGTGTGTTCTAGTCTATCAAGGTGGCCTGAGACTAGAACGCACATTCTAGTCTCTCGCCAAGGCTATCCAAGGGAAATTCTGTCAGTCATCTCTGCCATCTCTGCACAGGGAAGATGACTCACTGGTCCATTCATCAAAGGAGAAAGCCCATTTGCTAGGCTCTCTCTTTGCATCCAACTCGAATCGATGACGGGAGGAACACACCGTCGACCATACCACGGCGTGAGTGTTCATTGCAAGATATGCTGTTTAACAGCACTCGGTGCGCAAAACACTTCTCTCTCTGGACGTCAACAAGACGCCGGTGAGCCTGATGGAGTCCCACCTATTGTGCTGAACACGTGTACTCTGTAGTTGGCACCGGTTTTAACGCATCTTTTCTGGTATCCATTCAGAGTACCGGAAAAGAGAGTAGTCCCCAAAACGTAGTCCCGGACTCATGGAAGACAGCTTTGATGTACCCGATCCCTTAAAATGCGACTGCTCAGATCCGCCCAACTACACGCATATTGCTTTTACGATCTCCAAAATAATGGAAATAATTATTAACTGCCAGCTCATGATCACCATGAGTTATGGACCTTAAGGATCATTAGCCATAGAGTGATCGCCAGTACGGTTACCGTCGGAGTTGCTCAGCTCGTGAATATTTAGGTTACCTTACTCATAATGGGCGGAGGTAACAGAGTCTAAGGAGGAAACGTTGGCCGTTAGTTTGGACATAGAGAAAGCCTTAGGTTTCGCATAAAAGGTTCCTTTGAAGCTATGGTCTTCTATGGGTCCTTTGGGCTTCCAGAGAAATTGTGCAAATGGATCACCAGTTTTCTTGCAAATCGGAGCATTAAGGTCGTAGTAGACGGGGTCCCATTAACGCTGGTGTTTCACAAGACTCCCTCCTATCGCCAACGCTGTTTCTTCTGCAGATCAATGATATGTTGCAAACCGGTTACATTCATTGTGATGCGGGCAATAGCACTGGTGGTGCTTTATAAACCGGCTGTGCCATTATTTCTTGGGAAAACGTCACCGATTACTGAAACAATCTTGTTTCTGAAGTCGAGATTTTGTTGAACAAATTCTCATATAGTCATCAATCCCCAGAAGACACATGTCGTATCTCCTAAGTTTCAAGGCACTCCCATTGCTGCCTCAGCTAGCATCGGAATCCTCGGCGTTGAGATATCGAATAGTTTGCAGTTTTGTTGTCACTTGGATGAGCAGGCTAAATTGATTTCTGAAAAGCTTGGCGTACTCAGCAGATCAGGACAGTATTTCACACCGCTTGCCACTTTACAAGGTGCAGGTTCAGCCTCCATGGCATATTGCTCCCATCTCTGGGCTGCGACTCCACAGTGCCTGCTCCTTCCATTTGATCGCATCCAGCAGAGTGCGGTTAGAATCGTCGGCGGCAAAGCACTCTCTTTGGATTAATTTCAGCCGCTCAATTTCAACATCGCAGATCGCGACAAAACTCGAATCACCCAGACAGAATCCCCATCCAGTTACAACTTTTTCGTAGTATTCGATATTATATATAGTATTGATTAGATCCATACTATTTCTGGATCTATTCAAGCTGCGTTATTTTAAGTTCCTTAATGTAAAACTACTCGAAAACCTTAAAATACTATTCTTTAGTGGCATATAATATCATTAGTATTGTGGCGCACCACCTGCAACAATACTAAATACACAATAATATACATTATAACATACGCAATAAAATACATAAAAATACACAATTAAATAACACATTAATAAACACACAAACAAATTTCAATTCCCACAAATACACTCGTCGCACATTATATATTACATTTTTTTATTATTTATTAATATTACATAAAGTTTACTTACCTATCTCTTCACGAGAAGTATCCCGCGGTGCGCCGGAGCATAGCAACAGGCGAGCCCCTCACCAGTAACGCGTCAACTTCCCTACGTGAAACCTGTGTCGCTCGCTGCTAGTTACTGACTACGTATATTTCGTGCCGAACTTAATTAGTGTTGATTATCAGACGTAAAGTTGTAAAGAATTGTGTGTCCGTAATAAATAAATTCATACAGTGAATACGAACATTTTATTTATATGTGAAGGGACCTTAATTACACATAGGTGTATATAGGATAGCAGACCATTGTCTACATACTGGTGACCCCGACTACGCAAAGAAGATCTAAAGGTACCAATTACATTTACGAAAACTTATTTACTTACCTTAAAGAGATGTCAAGGTCACGAGATACTAATCTAACTAAGGAAACAATCCCGACGAAAAATGACGATACTGAAAATTTGCAGCCAGCTATGGAATTATTTCGTGTCGGTGTTAAGGTGCCACCATTTTGGCCGGATCGCCCCGCATTGTGGTTTGCCCAACTAGAGGGACAATTCGTATTATCAGGGATAAATTCGGATACCACAAAATTTTATTTTGCATGCAGCAATTTAGACCACCAATATGCGGTTGAAGTGGGTGACGTAATCGAAAATCCACCCAAAGAAAATAAATACGAAACTCTTAAGGGTGAACTGATCCGCAGACTCTCGGCGCCTCGTGAAGAGGAAATAAAACAGTTCCTGAGCAGCGAAGAGATGGGTACCAGAAAACAGTCACAGTTTTTACGCCATCTTCAGCATCTCGCTGGGCGAAACATCCCAGAAGAATTTGTTCGCACGACATGGCATAACAGGCTACCACCAAACATACAGCCGATTATCGCGTCACACTCCGATATGCCTATGGACAAATTGGCTGAACTAGCTGATAAGATTCTAGCAGTAGCAGCACCAACACCTCAAATCTCAGAGGTAGCCCCTTCTAAATCATCCTCTATCAATCAAACTTGGATAGCAATGGAAGCCATGGCAAAACAAATATCTGAGCTCACTAAACAAGTGGCAGCATTGAGTGCCAGACAATCTCGTCCACAGGGGAGACGTTTTTATAGAAGAAAGTCACGATCTCGTTCCAAATCTCAAATCAGGAATGGTATCTGCTACTACCACAATAAATTCGGAATCAATGCATACAAATGCACAACGCCATGTAGTTTCCAGCAGGGAAATGTCAACGGCAGTCACTAGTGGCGGTGAAGGACTGCCTTGAAGAGTGCAACGGCCTCCTCTTTATCGTAGAACGGAAAACGAAGATGGAATTTCTCGTCGATACCGGTTCCGACCTCTGCGTTTTTCCGAAGACCGCGACCGCAGGGTACCGCACGAAGACAAAATTCGAGTTATTCGCGGCAAACAACACCACTATATCGACATATGGTTACATTCATCTTCATCTAGATTTCGGCCTGCGAAGGGATTTGAACTGGAGGTTTGACGTGGCTGATGTGACGAAACCCATACTCGGTGTAGATTTCTTAAGCTACTACAATTTACTCGTAGACTGTCATCACCATCGCCTAATAGATGGACTTACAAGCCTTTCCGTGGCTATAGCACATCGAAACAGCCTTAAAGAAGAAATCGTCTCTATTAAAGCAGTATCTGGGAACACCCCATACCACACCTTGCTAAAACAATATCCAGAAATAACAAGACCTGCCGGTGCTCCCATTGAACCAAAACACAGTACAAAGCACCATATTCGCACAACTCCCGGACCACCGGTGAATTCACGTCCACGCCGATTAGCTCCAGATCGCCTAAATATAGCAAAGAAGGAATTTGAAGAAATGCTATTTAACGGAACAGCGCGCCGATGGGAAAGCCCATGATCGTCCCCGCTACACCTAGCGCGAAAGAAAGATGATGGGTGGCGTCCGTGTGGTGACTATCGAGCTCTTAACGCGAGAACAATTCCTGACCGTTACCCAATCCGACACATCAACGACTTTGCTTACCAGCTGGCCGGAGCAAGAATATTTTCTGAAGTCGATTTAATAAAGGCTTATAACCAAATTCCAGTAGTAAGTCCATGAACTTTGGGTTAAGGAACGCAGCTCAAGCGTTCCAAAGGTTCATCGATGAGGTTACACAGGGCATGGACTACGTATACGGATATTTGGACGACATTCTGGTATTCTCGAAAACTGAGAAAGAACACTTAAATCACTTACAAAATCTGTTTGATAGATTCAAGAAATACGGCATACTTATTAATACATCTAAGTGCATATTTGGAGTACCGGAAGTTACTTTCCTGGGTTATCACGTGTCTTCCGAGGGAACACGACCATTGCCCGAAAAGGTGGAAGCTATTCACAAACTCGACCCACCTAAAACCGCTAAACAACTGCGAAGGTTCCTAGGAATGGTCAATTATTATCGAAGGTTCATCCCTCATGCCGCAGAATTACAATACCCTTTAAATGAGGCCTTGACAGGAAAGAACAAAGGAGCCACGCCTATAAATATGACTGATAAAATGTTGCGTGCCTTTCATCAATGCAAAGAAAGCCTGACTCACGCTACACTTCTGTCACTTTCAGATGTACAGGCAGAACTAGCGTTGTTTACAGATGCTTCAAATGAAGCGATCGGAGCTGTACTGCAGCAAAAAAGGCAAGATAACATATGGCAGCCTTTGGGATTTTTCTCACGAAAGTTGTCACTACCCCAAAAGAAGTATAGTCCTTACGATAGGGAACTCCTAGCTATTTACGAAGCGATAAAACATTTTAAATATATGCTGGAAGCTAGGAACTTTGCCATTTACACAGACCATAAACCAATTTCATACGCTTTCAAAACAAGAAGGGATAATTGTTCACCACGGCAATACAGATATTTAGATTATATATCACAATTCACCAAAGATATCAGACATATTGCGGGTAAAGAGAATGTTGTCGCAGACGCACTTTCAAGAATAGACGAAATCACGGAAGCAATAAATTATGAAGCCCTTGCACGAGATCAGGAGATCGACCTTGAACTGCAAGGTTTACTGAAAAACGGGACAGGTCTTAGAATAGAGAAATAACCAAATAGCAATCTCTATTGCGACGTATCAACTGGAAAAGTTCGTCCTTACATTACGCCAAAGTTCCGTAAACAAGTCTTTCAAAAGATGCATGAACTAAGTCACCCAGGCACCGCAGCAACGACTAAGCTAATCACAGAAAGATTTGTGTGGCCTCGTATAAAACGTGACTGCAAAATTTGGACCAAACAGTGCACAGATTGCCAACTATCTAAAGTAACCCGTCACACTTCCGCTCCATTGTCCAATTTCCCCATTCCTTCAAAACGTTTTTCCCAAGTCCACATTGACTTAATTGGCCCTTTGCCATATTGTAATGGTTTCAGGTACTGCTTAACTGCTATCGACCGTTTCACTCGCTGGCCAGAGGTCTACCCATTACCAGACATAACTGCTGAGTCTTGCGCCAAAGCTTTCGTCTCCGGCTGGGTGTCACGTTTTGGCTGCCCGGAAACAATAATTACGGACAGAGGTCAGCAATTTCAGTCACATCTTTTTCAAAGCCTGACAAAACTCACTGGCTCAGAACACCGCCCCACCACGTCATACCATCCACAGTGCAATGGAATGGTGGAGAGGCTTCATCGCCAACTAAAAGCAGCAATCACATGTCACAACACACCTCAATGGACTGAAGCACTTCCATTAGTGCTCTTGGGAATGCGTGCAGCGTGGAAAGAAGACCTAACCGCGTCGGCAACAGAAATTGTATATGGTGAACCTATTAGACTACCAGGAGAATTCTTCATGCCATCAACGAAGCTTACCTCAGATCCGTCAGACTACGTTGAACGCCTGCGTAGACATACTGTCGATTTGGCTCCAGTACCAGCGTCAAACCATAATAAAAATAAATCATTTTATTTACCTAAAGACATCTGGACAACCAAATTCATATTTCTGCGCCGTGGCCCAGAGAAACGACCACTACAATCGCCATATACAGGACCATACAAAGTCGTGGATCGAGGCACTAAAACATTTAAAATACTAATACAAGGTAAAGAAACCACTGTTACAGTAGACAGAATTAAACCAGCATACCTGGCGACAGACGACATCCTCGACGATAAGAAGGATCAGGCTCCAATGATGACTACCTTACCTGAACGCCCGCGCCCCTTACAGCTATCAACAGAAAAGAAGACGCGAAGTGGGAGAACTGTCCGATTCCCGGACTACTATCGACCGTAAACCGGTCTCGGTAGGGGAGTGATGTGGCGCACCACCTGCAACAATACTAGATACACAATAATATACATTATAACATACACAATAAAATACATAAAAATACACAATTAAATAACACATTAATAAACACACAAACAAATTTCAATTCCCACAAATACACTCGTCGCACATTATATATTACATTTTTTATTATTTATTAATATTACATAAAGTTTACTTACCTATCTCTTCACGAGAAGTATCCCGCGGTGCGCCGGAGCATAGCAACAGGCGAGCCGCTCACCAGTAACGCGTCAACTTCCCTACGTGAAACCTGTGTCGCTCGCTGCTAGTTACTGATTACGTATATTTCGTGCCGAACTTAATTAGTGTTGATTATCAGACGTAAAGTTGTAAAGAATTGTGTGTCCGTAATAAATAAATTCATACAGTGAATACGAACATTTTATTTATATGTGAAGGGACCTTAATTACACATAGGTGTATATAGGATAGCAGACCATTGTCTACAGTATTTCCAAAAATATTCAGAAAACAAACTCAAACGTTTTTGTGTTTTGCTCGTCCGTAAAATGGCGTTTTGGTTTTTAAGACATTTGTTGCTCAAAGGGTCGATAAATGCGGCCAAATAATCAATTACATCTTATGATTCAGAAGTGAACTACAAAAGGAAATATAACATTAGATAAATGATAATCTACAAATAAAGAAAGCCGTACTGAAGTTTAATTGGTTAAGATTTTATAAGAATCGTTTGCTGGTGGAATCACTTCGCAACAGGTAATGTCTTTCCATTTCGTAATATACATATAAGACGTTGTTAAGACCCCGTTGCCAAGTTGACCGCTGGTGAGATGACAATCTATCCAACTGCAGAGAGGTGTAAGACAGGGTGACGTTATATCCCTGAAACTCTTCACCGCTGCATTGGAAGACGTTTTCAAGCTACTGAACAAGAAAAGATACGGTACTAACATCAATGGCGAGTACATCATTCACCTTTGATTTACCTACGGTATAGTCCTTATGGCAGAATCGCTGAAGAACTTAAGCATTATAATCAATGACCTCAATAGTGCCTCCCAATGGATTGGTCTTAAGATAAACACGGACAAAACAAAGATCATGTATAACGTCCATGTCATATATAGATATGACATGGACGTCCGTAGTTGTTGGGAGCACTAAACTCGAAGTTATCGACGAGTATGTTTACCTGGAACAAATAGTTCTACTAGGTGAGTCCAACTTGGAACCAGACGTCAATCGCTGGATTCAACGACGGATAAATTACGACATATCGTCTCGTCGGGTATGCCTCAAAACTTGAAAACTGTCTGTACAACCAGTGCCAGTGATGACCTATGGAACTAATGCATGGTCCTACACAGCTGGCCGTATGAGGAAGCTCATGGTCGGTCAGCGAGCTATGGAGAGGGTTATACTCGGGGTTTCTCTGCGTGATAAATTTAGAAATAAGGATATTTGCAGTAGAACCAGAGTGACCGACATAGCCCAACGGATTAATAAGCTGAAGTGGCAATTGGCCGGCCGGCTCGAAGAACCGACAACCGATGGGGAAAAAAGATTCTCGAGTGGCAGTCTCGTACAAGTAAGCGAAGTGAAGGGTGACCCCCCACTAGATGGAGTGATGACCTGGTAAGACATACAGGAAGTCGATGGGTGCAGGTGGCTTAGGACCATGCTTTGTGGCATTCATTGAGGGAGGCCTGTGTTTGGCATTGGACGTGTGAAGGGCAGTAATGATGAAGACGGTGTTGAGCTGATCTTCGGATCATTTTTCCATCAAAATGAAATAAGTAAAATTTTGAAGTAAAAAATAAAAATGCACACAAGGCGTGCACTTTTGGATTTTCCAAACTATTTTTTACAACTCGTTATGTGAAATGTAAAAACTATTCAGGCTGGCGACAGCGAGCATAGGCGAAGGTGCCAGACGTTTTCAATCGGAAATCCACCTGCCATTCGAGGCTATTAGAGAGAACCTTCCTTTAATTCAAAAGGTCTGCGTCAAACTGTGGATTACCATTCATCATTTGATTAGTTTTTGGCAAATGTTAACAGTGGAAAGTTAATGGATGGTAATATTAAATTATGTTATATTAAAATAACTGGCTTCTATTAAACTCAGGCTGTTATTTGCATTATATTAAGTCATAAATATTTTTTTTTAATTGAAAACTTCTATAGCGTCGTTGTGATTTGAAACAAATGAAACGGAAAAGCGACACTAAAAAAAAGACAAATAAGAGTATATAAATCTACGAGTATATGAGAGAATGAAATAAAATCAATACTATTATAAATCGGAAGAGGTTTTTTTGTTTGTTTAAACACGCTAACCTCTGGAACTACCTGTTCGATTTCATAAATTATTTTAACATCTAACATTATGCTTCACATCTCAGCTAGCCTTAATTATTGATTTTTCATAAGCAAGTCGGAAGAAAAAGCGGCCCGAACCGCGTGCGCTGGCGTAATGGTTAGTGATACGTAAATAATTTGTTCCACAAAAATAGAGAACTTTCCTCCATCTAAAAAAAAAGACTATATATAATACTATAGTCCTATTTCTTATACATACATAAGCCACAATATGTTATTTAGTGACAAATAAATATTGAGAATTAAAAAGTGATATAAGAGCGTTTTTATTAAGAATAGCATATTAATACTTACGAAAAAATGTTACGTTATCATAAAGATAATTTTATAAATATAATCTTTGCTCTTTATAGCATGTGATTTGGACATATAGTTTCAAAATTAATATAATTCAACACTCGGCACGCGAACGTCGCCTAGACACCCGATGTTCACGGAAAGAAAATAAACGAGGTGTCATGTCACGCGGCTAATTCAGTATGAAGAGTTTTCTATTGTCTCGGCTTCCGCTATGCGTGGTGCTTTAAAAGTAGCTAAAATATCTTTTATATGTTAATATAAAGAACTGAAAAATTACAAATTTATCATAAAATAAATAAAACTAATTATCTTCTAATATATTAAAATGAATGTTTGTTTGTTCGTATTTTATCTCCTGCCATACCGTTCATTAGATTGCAATAAAACTTTGTCAACTTATTGCTTACACTTGCACAAAGGTTATGGGCATAGTACAATTTATTTCATTAGGTGGCGCGCGTATCGTATCGGCAAATTATTTAAAAGTCATATATCATCCAATTTCAATTAATGTAGTATCATTCTTAATTAACAATTTAACCCTTCCAAATTTAAAACGATATTTCCACAATTATTTCTTTTGCAGCAGCAATGCGCCGGGTTCTAGCTAGTAATTTAATTAATTTTTGTTTGTTCGTATTTTATACGCTGCCATACCGTTCATTAGATTACGGTAAAACTTTGTCAAATTATTGCTTTCATTTCCTCCAAGGCTATAGGCATAGTACAATTAACTTATGATATGTGGAGCGCGCATCGTACCAACAAATTTAATTGAAAGTAATTTATCAGTGACCTTCAATGAATGTATATTCCTAATAAAACACTACAAGTCTTCCAATTTGAAACGATATTTCCACAGCTATTTTTTTCTGCGGCAGCAACGCGCAGGGAACTAGCTAGTATTGAATAAAATTATGATATTCAAACCATTCTTAACAATGCTCGATTTCTTATGTTATCGATTTATATTAAATTAGTCTATTTTACTGACAACCAGGAACCAACAAAGAAACAGAAATTGATAGTAAATCACTTTCTGTTTAAAGATGTTATATATACCGAGTGTTTGTGAAACACTCCCGAAAACGAAGACAGACGATAGTACTAACTATACCTGTGATAATAGGTGAGAAATAAAATCGATCCTGATGAAAAAAAAAATCATCTTTTCACAACGTTTTTTTAGCTTTATTCACGCTTCATCTTGTTAGTACAGCAAAATAAAAGGATAATTTCATTAAAAAATCACGAAAATACATAAACATTAGACCAGCAGTGGAATTTAAAATAAATAAATCATAAAATCAGCTTACTAGGGTCAATATCCGCGTGGAAAAGAAACTTTTTTGTCCTGCTGGGTACAGGTCCCGTTACGTAAAAAGAACGCTGAGCGACAGTGGAGGGGGTGTGTCTGCGCATGGGTACAATCGCGTTCTAAAGTACTACATTGTTTTATAATATTATAATAGTAATTAATTGTTTTATTGTAGAATCATAATAGCTACTTTTCTAGCTACTTACGACTTTGGAAGAGGTTGGAATTAAAAATGGATAATGTTTACTTGATCATTATTTTTTATTTCTGTCGTAAAATATAAAGTACTTGGTAAAAAGAAAATTTAAACTAAGGGTAACTCGCCGTCCATTATATCGTCTTGGGTCACACGGAAGCCAGATGTCGATGTTGTGTTGGTGTTACTGGATGCTACTTCATCATCACTTTCATCTTCGTTTGAGATTCCGTCATCAGAATCATTATTATAAACGCAAATGGTAAATGTTTCCGTCTTCAGGTTGACCACATGATAATTGTTTCGGTATTTTTCTTCAATACTTTTAACTTTACTGCACAATTTTACCCAATCACCTTCTCCCATCATATTTACCTTTACGTTCACTAGTTCAGTCATAAAACAATAGATATAAATATCCTCCAAAGTTATAAGTAGCTAGTAAAGTACCTATTTTAATTCTATAATAAAACAATTGATTATTATTATATTATAAAAAAAAAACAATAGCCTAGTACTACGTAGTACTTTTGAACGCGATTGTACCCATGCGCAAACACACTCCCTCCACTAACCGCCATCCGGCCGGCTCCTGTCACCTTGCGCTGTGGAATTTCTACATGTCAGCTTTGCCAACATGTGAAGAATTCCCAAAATTGCGGGGAATTTAAATTTGGTTGCAGATTTTATGGGGATTTGTATTATGCGAGGAAAATACGGCAATTTTGAAAATCGATAGCCAGGGCCAAGTCAGAACCTTTTTCTAGAAACCTAAATAACTAT